CAGGGCTTCTGGGTACATCTTTTACATTTTCTTCTGTGAACGCCTTAAAGCAGTGATTTTAGATGTTTGTCTAGAGGTGGACTGTAAAAGCTGTGGAAGGTGGTGTTCATCATATGGTTTGGTGGACCTCAGCAAAGCCAATGCCCTCCTCTCACCCCCTCCCAGCAAATTGAACAGTGGACCCCAAAACCTCTCTCAGATCTCGTGACAGAGGTGTGGGAAGCAGGCTTTTTAGGAATAGTATGTTTTGCTTTGCTACAAAAATATTTGTGCTCTAAATACAGATTTGATCCTAGGACAGGGCTACGTGCAGTGAGAAATAACCTGTTGCGTCTGGTGAAGATACTTGTAGTAAAACTGTATTTGGCATTTTGCTATTGAGATTTCTAGTCACTTAAAATCATTTGAGGATGTTAGTCTAAAGAGCTACATGCAAAGGCATGGATTTTCTAGTCGAGTGAAGGGCCAGGGTTTTTAGGACATCTGAATTTCCAACCTTTCTGAAACGTCCCCAACTTGGGATCGGGACTATTTATGTCATATCTGGGCGACTTCTATGTTAGAGGCCTGAGGATGGGTTTAGGAGCTGGGTGGCTGAAAGTTGCCTAGCTATGCCTTTCCAACATCGCAGGGTGATGACGCTTCATTTTGGTTCGGTGTGGAAGTGAGGGAGGAGGCTTTGATTTGCCACCTAATTCCTGCAATGGCCACTGCTGCTGAAGGCGAGCACGTGTGCCAAGTTGCTCTCCAGTTGCACCTGTTTTGCCAACAAAGGTTTATAACAGATCACCCAGGACAAAGAGAGCATTACCCACTCGAGGAGCCGCCGTAAACCCGGTTGCCCTTTGCTGCTTCTGCCTCCGATTTTTGGGGGAGTGGGAGGGGAAGGGAAGTCGTAGGAGGTGATGGCAGCGGGGAGCGGGATGCAGTGAGAGGAGCCCCCGCTGGCACGGCCGGCCTGACCCATTCAGTGGGGCTGAATACGATAAATGCTGCTTTATCCTTTCTTGAAAGGAACAAGATAGCGCGGCCTAAATGCCTGGGTGTGCTTAAATAGGCAACTCTGGGACGCCGGAGTCGAGGGCGTTTGAAATCGGAGCTCCCCGACAGCCGGGGAGCTGCCACAGGTCACCTGCCTCGCTCCATGGGGACCGGCCCAGGTCTGGCAAGAAATCGTCCACGGACGAATTGTAGTACAAATTCCTTTCTTTGTTGGTTGGCCTCTTTCACTAGACCATGGCCTATAAAAAATTGTGTAAAAACAATTCTTAAATATTATTTGAAAGGGCAAACGGCCACGCTGAAAGGTTTGACAGTTTGACATATAGCGCCTGGTTTTGCTCGCTGGGGAACGGGCGCGCCGAGCCCGGGCTCTCCTCCTGCTCCTTACAGGCTCCGGGTTTTTTTTTAAATAGCGTCTAGTTGCTGTGCAGAGTCGCTGCGCTCCCAGCAATTTGACAGGCAACGAGTCTGCTTCAGTGATCTTAAATCCTTTTAGACTAATTTGCGAGCGAGCAGAAAAACAGCTAGCACCTTCGGATCCAGCGCTCAAAACCAGAGAATCAGGTATTGCCAATTAAAGTGCCATTTCCAACCATCATATCAAGACAGATTACTTGCAATTCCTCTGATAATGTCACGCCGTGCCTAAAGAGAAAGAGAGCTGGAGTTTCTCCACGGACAAAGGATCTGCATGGACCAAACTCATCGGCGACCGAGACGGAGGGAGCGTGATGCAGATCATGCATACGGCAGTGCATATGTGCAGGGTGGACGCGAGCGGTGCGTCTGCTCTGCCCCCCGAATAGCCACAGGCCATTTTGAAGAGCCTCTGGCCCCTCAGTCACTGGCCTACTAGTTAATTGCCACATGGACTTCGTGACACATGGGCAGATAATATGACATTTTCGGTTTCTGTCACTAGCAAACGCCACGGCGTTGCTTGCACTAGTTGCTAAGAAGCTGTCAGAAACCATTAGCAGCTGGCTAAAGGTGCCCTATGGCATTTCCTCATGGCATCAGCAAAACAAGCATAAATCACCCAGCGGAGCCTCCCGCTATACTAATGAGGCTGTAAGCTTGTTTATGGACTAGCATCATTTCTATGATTATTTCCACCTTTTCAGTTCGCCTTCATTTGGCGGCAGGAGAAGTCAACTTCAGGAACAGAGTTGCCGCTGACATTTTACAAATGCGGTTCGTAGCTGCTACCGTGTGGCTGGTCAGTGGTGCTTCAAGTTTGTTTAGTGATCTTTAAAAAGAGGAAAAGGCGTGTGTGTGTGTGCGTGTGTAATCTCTGGAGACCTCACAGAGGTGAGTGTATCAAGTTGCAAAGTAGATGGAAATACTAAAATCCACAATTGACCATTTAGACTTCTCTCTGTGGTTTCAGTCTTCACGGGATCAATTTTCCATTTAAAAAAAGTGGAAGAGGTTAAACAATTCATAAAAGTCTACCGAAGCATTTGCTCTTAGGATAGCCGGGTGCTTTCTTATCCTCTCCCTGCCTTTCACTTTCTCTAACTTGTGTTGGACGGGGCCAGGGTTTATTGTTTTAGGCTTTTCTGAACATGCACCAGTATTTACACTGGATTGAAAGCATTTGCTTCCAATGAAAATCTTGTCTTAGATTACAGCCCAGCAGTGTAATTTCCCTCCCAGATGGGAGTAAAGTAGCAGTATTTGCCTAAAAACAGTAGGAAGAACAAACTGTGCATTAAGCCAAGGCTGTTTTTGGCTTGAGCTAATGATGTAACAGAAACCTTTTATTTGGGATAGGTCACCGCCAGGGATTGAAGGAGGTGATCTGGCTCGCGCTTGAAAGGTTTCTCCATTGTATCTACATAAGTCTTCACTTAAAAAATCCTGTTCCTAATGCTTCTTCTTTCATACAGCAGAAATAAACAGGAAAGGTTCTGGGGAGTGTTATAGGTGGAATGCAGAAAGCTTTTCCTCCCCTAATGGAGGATATAATTCAGGTGCCCTGGAGGCACGCTTTCAGGAATTCTCTTGCCTGAGGTAATGGGAAGCTAAGGCTGCTTGAAGGCCTTGATTATCTATTGATGCACAAAGCTGGAAAAAAAGTCATCTCCCTTGGATTATAGTAGATATTTCCATAAATTATCAATGAGTCCTCCTCCCGTCAGGCACGAGGCGATGCCTGCTAAATTAATCTGAAGGGGGTTTGAAATGAGGAGAGGTTGTATTTTAAAAAAATGGGGGGGGGGGGGGGGGGGGGGGGGGTGGGGGGGGGGGGGGAGGTGGTGAAAGGCAGTGTCATTAGGTTAGAAGCTTTTCATTTTTAATCAATGAATGCAATACTTTTCGATTGCAGGGAGGTGGTGAAAGGCAGTGTCATTAGGTTAGAAGCTTTTCATTTTTAATCAATGAATGCGTAATACTTTTCTTTTCCTTGTTTGCCTCTCGCAGACAGAAAGTGGATTAGCCCGTGGAATTTTAAATGCTGTTGAGTTGTTTCCTTTGCTCATGTTTCTTTTATGAATTATTATTTTATATGGTGAATTGCTTCTCTGTATAAAAGCCCCTTTTTACATACTGGGCTTTCAAAGAATTTGTCGGATATCTGATTTCTTTGTAAAAATCTTGTTTGTTTCTATAACTACCCAAGGTTACCATTTCATTAAAGACACAGGCCAAGTCATAAGGACAATTATAAATTTGCCACGGTCAGTAAGGTACTAAAAATATAACACTAATAACATTTTTTTTTTTTTGGTGTACTTACTGTCACAGGTGTGACCTTCAGGTTACAAAGCTGTCAGCTAGGAAAGTGGAATAATCTGTTTTTTTTTTAAAAAAAAAAATATTTTTAATTTTTATTCCTAATAGAGATAGTTTTGATTCAGCCCAATTCAGATGACTTTCTTGATCATTCTTGCCCAGGCGTGTAAAAAAATCTTGCCTAATAACATCACAACTCCATGTTGCTACAAATACAGTGTCCTCGGAAGCCGGGATATACTGCTCAATCCACATGCAGAGAAAGCAAAGGCTGATTTGCTATGTGGACTTGTTTATAAACTGCTTTCAGGGTTTGAAACAAAAATTGCATGCAAACTGTCTGGGCGCTGCAACTTTTGTTTTCCTTTGACTGGTAGCCTGTCAAGCCCAGACCCAAGTTGGCTGCTATGCAGTTACGTCCTCCCGTAGATATGTTGCTAATGTGATGAGAACTGCCTGAGACCTTATCTGCATTAAGGAAATTCATTCTGGATCAGTTGTTGTTTAACGGGAGCAGACACCTATTACGGATATGGCACACTGGCACAAAGCAGGGTGTTAATTCCTACGGTGTATGTCAAATTGGTACCTACTTACCGCAGTATGAATTTCTTTAGGCTGGGGCTGGGAAGAGGGGAGGCCAGTTAGCTACCCATCTCCCATCAAAAAGTCAGGGGAAGCTGAACATCTGTAAAAGACTTAACATAAGCAATGCCCCAATCCTCTGGTTATTTCTGAATTTGGGGAGACAATATGATGTTGCGAGAGAGCTGCATTCACCCTGCTTTTCGCATCCCAGAGTGGGACGGGGCACCCAGCTTCACACACGTCATGGGGATGGGACACCATCGATACTTTCCTAATTGCCACCTCAGCCAAAGTAGCTGGTTGGGATGAATTTTTGGAAAGTGACCTAGTGTGAAGAAAAGCCACCGCTTCCACCTTTGCAAGCTGGATGCTTGCAAAAAAAAATTTTTTTTTCTTTTTTTAAAGCACTTTTTGTTTTGGGTTACAGTGCTGAATCCAGTGGCAGAAATAGTTGCACTGTCCTTCAGGATAAACCAGAACGGGGCCGACACAGTCCTGAGACCCTCCCTCTCCCCATGTCTCTTCCCCCCAACCCCTCAACCCCTGATGAATTACGGTGTTAAAGAATTTATACCTCATTTAAATATTCATGCAGTTTATACCCAAAGCCAGGCTTCGGCTGAAGTATATAAAGGTAGCATAAGTCAAAATTTGATTCACTATATTTACAGGTGACGGCTTGGACAACAGTGTAGCTTCCCCCAGCACAGGTGATGATGATGATCCAGATAAGGACAAAAAGCGACATAAAAAGCGTGGCATCTTTCCCAAAGTAGCCACAAATATCATGAGGGCATGGCTGTTCCAGCATCTAACAGTAAGTGAACTCTAGATCACATATGCAAAATAAAACATGGAAAATGTCATAGTTGTAGTAGTCGTAGAAAGCAAAAAATACGTATGATGTTACTGACAGGCAGCTCAGGGAACTTTTCCAAGCAGAGTTGTTGTTGTTGCCTCATTTGCTAGATGCCAGGGGAAGAGCACGGAGCGTATGTTTTTATGGTTTTGGGGGTTTTTGTGTGTGTTGTTCTTGGATTTTTTGTTTTTGGTTCGAGTCGCAGTTGTTAACAGGACGTCACTGCAAAGTGTGACTAAGCTTATACTAATAACCTCGGAGACCTGTCCTGCCCCGCTGCTCGCACAGCTGCAGCTCCCCTTAGCTGACATGGGAATCGCTGCTTCGGAGCAGAGAGCAGCGTTCAGCCCCTGGTTCTGTGCTCCAGAGAATGGCAGAATATAATTGGGGAGATTAAAAACAAAGCAAAAAGCAAACAAAGACCTTATTCAGGTGTTTGTCACAGATCATCAGAAGCTTCATGATGAAAGGTCTGAATGTATCTGGTTTAATAGCAAAGTATAATTTTTTTCTTTGAGACGTTCTCATTCCCAGAGTGTAAGTTACCCCTGTATTTAACGTTATAAAGGGGTGCGGGGGATGCCCAGCTATTTCTGTTGCCACAGCTACCTGTATTCTTTTTATTCCTGGGATTAGAAATCAAAGCTCTGGACAGGTGTGTGGGGTTAAGCTGGATGCTGGAGCCTCTTTCAAGGCTTTATATTGTGTACCACACCTTCTAACATTAGCATTTAGAGAAGTGTTTCTAATGCCATTCTCCTTTTTCATCAAATTGTGGTGATCTGTCACTGTGTTTTCATCCACTGTGGGGATGTGGGCCTTCGGCCCCAGGTTTTCTGTCTGAGCTTTTCTGTGCTAGGAGGATAAGGGCCAGGCGAGGGGTGCCGGGGGTCTGCAGGTGGTAGTGAAGAATGGCTCTCGCCTCTAATCCCAGCGGTTGACTCTCTCCCCTGCCTGTAGTTAGGGTCAGGATGAAACCAGAAGCCGGCCAGCTTGCCCAGCCCCAGTGGGAGCCCTGCCAAGGGTATACTCGTAAACTGGAGGAAGCGCTCACGCACATCGCCCCTCCGTCCCCTGCTGAGCCAAGAAACCAGATATCTGCTGTGACTCTTGTCAGCACGGGGATCAGGCGGGGAATCCTGTCCCGCGCGGTCCTGGGTTGCTATGAATGAACCTTCGTGCTGGAGCACGACTCCCCTGAGGCCGGAGAGAGCCTCGGATATCTCCAAGCTAATCTCTCTCTCTGGCAGACTCTACGTCAGCCGTGCCCCAGCTTTGCTAGCTCCTTAGCCCTGTCCCTGGTGCGTTCAGCGCATTGCTTCCAAAGGCTGAGGTCCCTTTTGGTTTTGGTGGCTCCCCAGTTCTAGGTCCTCACCCAAGATGAGCTGACACCTGGTGTCTCTCTGCAGGTAGATATGAGGTTAAGGACATCTGCCTCCAAAACAGTCCAGGGATGCTGTGCCGGCAGCGATGCTCACACCAGCCTGATGCAGGTGGTTTAGGTTCTGGTTTAAGGAGATGCCCTGGAAGCTCTGCAGTCAGGACAAGGCACGCCAGGGGACACTGAGCAACTGCATGTCAGTCCCCGTAATTCCCAGCTGAGGAATTACGAATTAAGTAGTATATATTACTACTAGTATTTTCCTGGAAGTAGCCTGTTGCTGTGTTTGTGCTAGTAAATTAAACATCACCCAGGCCTGGGCACAGGAACGTGACGGTCTATCCTGTTAAACTGCTTGAACAATCTCCAGCACGCTCTTAGCCTGGGCCAGCTACCACCCTCCAAACCCATTCCTGGGAACATGGCAGAAGACAGGTGACTCCCAAAAGACCTTGTGGCAGAAGCCACCCTGTGTTGAGCATTTAGCTACGTGGACTTGACCTGACCCTGCAGCTGGCTTCATGCACAGTCTCAGGACCAGAGGATGGACCCTGTCACTGTTTTGTCCAGATTAGGTGTAGGGTGCAAGTGGCTTTTTGCTCTTCCGCTGTGCGGTAACGGGGTGCAAAAAAGAAGATGAGAGTGCCCGCAGAGCTTGCTGCAGTGCTGGTAGCTGCCCCTGGGAGACATCATCTGGACATCTGCTTGTAAGGTGGCCTCTTCTTCTGGAAGGCTCAAATACAGAAAGAAACCCCCCCAGGACCTATGCAGTGAAGCTGCTGCATTTTCTATCTTGCAGCACTGAGCTAAAGCTTGCTTTAAAAATCCACCATCCCCTGTGCAGAACCAGCCCAGCCAGATGAAGCATGCAGATTTATTGCAGGGCAGCTTTCTCTTCTTCTGGCAGCATCATGGTAGCTCCAGGCTCATCTGATCAGTTCAGTAAAGCAGAATTGGTTTACCCAGTCCAACCTTCTCCAGCTAGGACCTTGAGACGGGCCTTTCAAATCGACTGTAGGTGGGGTCGTGGACAGTTTCCCCAAATTAAAACATGTCTGGACAACATTGTAGGCTCTTCCAAGCTGAGAGTGTCCTTGCTGGAGTGAGAAGGCACCAGAGAACTCCTGATTTAGAAGAGCAGTGGGTCTTGTGTGTGGAGGAGGATGTCCTCCAGGCAAACATGTTGATAACATGGGAAGAGTCAACACTACAGTTAGTGCTTAGAGCAATAGAACATGTTTACAAGCTGCTTGGGGTGCTGTCCTCTCTGCAAAAAAAACCCAGGCCCAAATCATGGCTGCAATCAGAATTGAGGAGTAGGGGGGTGAGAGACTGAAGGAATTAAGACTCCAGTTCATTTCTGAGGGTGTCTGGGCCTCATGACTGCTCTTATAACCCTGCGCACCGGCATGACAGTGTCCCCAGCTGGGCTCCTCTCTGCGGGAGGGAGGTCATCCAGAGGAGTGGTCAGCTGAGGAAACTAGAGATCCCCGCATCATTTATTTATTTATTTATTTATTTATTTATTTATTATTAGTGAATTTGGTCTTCCCTAGGGGCGGACACGAGGTCCTCCCTAAAGCGGGAGGTGAGGAGAGATAGGGAGGTGGTTCTGTTCAGGCAGGGGACATGTCAGGGCAGGCGATACCTCCCTTTTGCCCCCAGTGCTTAACCTGTCTTCGCTTTCCCATCTGGAAAAGGGCAGGGAAGAAACGAGCAGCAGTTAAGCACAAAATCCAGCATCCCCTTGACCACTGCTGCTTCCTAATTGGGGTGTTAGTTGGGAGCCCTCCTTTTCAAAGGCAGTATTTTTTTTACCTCACAATTGTAATATTAATACACATTAATGGCATGGAATTAAACAAAATAGACAGTAATTGCTGTGTTTGTCATACGAATGATTAAGGGTTGGAAAGATTTAAAATAAATGTTGGACTAACACGATCTTTTAAAAGTGTATAGGCTGGTTTAATTCCTTCTATGCAGTTATTCCATCTCCAAGGTATTAAGTCTTCCTCTGTGTACTGACTTAATTTCCTAAGGTTTGTCCCTTAGTTCTCGTTTCCCGCTTAGAAGGAAATTCTTTTTCTCTTCATTGAAGAAAAAAAATCAAATGCAAGGCCATAGCCTCTCCGGCTGTTGAAGTGTTTGGGCAATAGTTCCCACTCAGTGTCACGCTGCAGCCCCCCCCCTTGTTTTGACGGATGTGCAGAACTGAGTTGACGTATGCCCAAAGGGTAGGCAAGCGCTGTCCTCTGCGGATGCAGGCAGTATGCTCTGAAACACTTCGGGGGATAAATTCATCCAAATTGCCCTTTTTTTTTCCTTCCCCTTGGAAGAATAATAACAAAAAAAAAATCAGCTAAAACAATAGCAAAAGTAGTGATCAGACTTGCATTTAGGACTTTGCGGGATTTATTTTTAACCATTTGCTATTCTGACTTAATTTTGATTAAATGTCTGGGTTGGAAGAGCTGCCCGGGTTGGCCGTTAGTTGGGCAAAACATAGCTGTGGAGCTTGTTGAAATTTTTGGTGGTAGATTATGACACCAGCCTGTAAATTTTGAGGTTTGTGAAATCTATTTTTAGGATTTTGCTATAAATTTGAAGTGGAAGGAACAGCCTGTTACTATTTGGATAAAAAGAAAAAAAAAAAAAAAGCTACTGATAGTTTGGTGAAGAGGTGAGGACATCCCCAAACTGTAAAAGTTGAGTCAAAAATGAGGGGAGGCATCGGATGAACATCAAAGGCCATGGCAGGGTCTCACGGAGGGACTGGGGCAAACTGGTCCTGTGCTGGAGCTCGGCTCCAGAAAGTTGCCCTAAGGATAATTTCAGGGTGTGCTGCAGCCCGGCAACATTTTACAGGCCCTCTTCTTTTTTTTTTTCTTTTCTTTTCTTTTATTATTTCTTGGATCGCTTAACGTTCAGGGATCATATCTCACCACCATTTTTCAAGCAGATCTCACTGTAATGTATAGCCCTCAGCAGGGATTGTGAAATAAGGGAAAAGCTTGGAGGAAGGGAAGGGGAAGAAAAAATAATCTTGCCTACAACCAGATCTGTGTAAATTTAATTGTGGCAACAGGATTAGTTTTTCCTTCAACCCATACTATGCTTTTGTCCCAGCAATGGTACTTTTTTGTTCAAAACTAGAAGAAGGGAGTTTGGGGGGTGTCTTTTCAAGTGTTTTGTTCGCTCATTGTGAATTCTCTGCATCTTTTAAATCCAGCTTAATTTAAAATGTTGAGATTCAAACCTCATTTTGGGGATTATATGTTGTAATTGGTTTGTTATATGATGAGTATTTGATGATCTTCACGTTCATCATCTAATCAGGCAAAAAAAGCCATAAAATTATAATCCCAAAAGATGTTTAATAACAATTTAAACTATTGAAGGCTTTATTTAAGCACATTAGGGGATTATAAACTACTTTTTTTTTAATGGTGCCAAGAGGTAGATTCAAGGACTTCAAACACCTTTTAAAAAACAAATTGCCATGATTTAAAAAAATGAATGGGCCAATGATTTCTTTCATGTAAATCCCATAATTTAATCATTATTTTTAACTGCT